GCAGCGGCTTCACGATCCTGAGGCATACTGCGCTCAGCATAGACCTGACTCAGCTCCGTCAACAGTTGGGTTTTTCCATGTAATCTTCGGCGGAACCAGATCTGAAATGCGAAAGAAGATGGATAAAATAGAACGAATCAAAAGTAATGGTTGCGTCACAGAATAATACAATTGGACATCACGGATAGAAGATGCCTGCGCATTCTGCTTATCTTCATCACCAAGTACTGGGTAAAGATGAACACAATTCCATATGATGATGATTAAAAATATTACAGTAAACGACATGCTCATCATGGTTGACCCTTGGAAAAAATTAATATATAACGTGTTCTACTTATCATTGCGGTACTTACTGTCGTCTACGCCAGGCATCGCCTTTGGCATGGTGTTCTAGCATTTTCATCAGCCTCATCTCGAACGCTCTTTTTCGTTAGCGACCCGAAGCGTGCAGCATCCTGTTTGGCTAGCTCATCCGCTACGTTATCCATAGCTGGAGAACCACGGACGAATGGATTGGGGTGTGCCATTACCTGGCGGAGCAAAATTAAATCCATTGTTAGGTCGAATACAATTCGACATGGCGAATCTGGAAGCGAGGATTGAACAGTGGAGCTGGCAGAGGACTCCATGTTTGAGAGAGAAAAGAGAAAGCGTTGTAAGGACCAAGAAGCGAAAACACAAGCTGAACGAAGCTGACCACTTCCAATCAGGGAGTCGGTAAATAAAGGATGATCCACCTGATATGGGAGCTAACTGAGTGGGTAATTGCGTACAGAAACCCCATCATAGAAGAACCAAATAAAGGACGTCAAATCCGCCTGATAAGTGATATGGCAGCTAAGTGAGTGGCAAAATGCCCATTTCTGGGTAATTGTGTACGGAAACCCCTGTATACATGGTATAGAAGAACCAAAAAAAGGACGTCAAATCTGCCTGACATCGAAGCTACATGTACATGTACGAGTTGTTGAGGGGCAAAATGCCCAAAAAAACCATATATAGAAGAACCTTTCGCGTCATGCGGTACTATATGACATGTGTTGCGTATACTCATACCGTACTTGACGGCTCCCAGCTTCCAATCTCACGAAACTTCTCGCGAAAGTTCATTTCGCGTGCCAGGCAACTTTCGCGTCCAAAGTTGCGAAAGTTCGTGCGAAGTTTCGTAGTTCATGACGTATAACGAAAGTTCGTACGAATTTTCGTTGTGCAGAACCTCTCTAATGCTGCCAAACTTCCGTATTTTTCCATAGTTGTGCCGAAAATCACTCCTTCGTCCGCTGTACGGAATTTTAGCAAAATGTTGCAGAAAATTGAAGGGTACTTATCAGCTACTGTAAAGTCTGAAATTTTCGCGGCGTTCTGGTTGTTGGTTGTGTTTATTTGAATTCGCAAGCCGAACGGACTGAACATGTCCAATGACAAGGAAGCGAAGTCCAAGTAACCCAGGAATGGGGACACAGATGAAAAGAAAATATGGGAACAGAAGGCTCTCAGCAAAGGAAGAAGAGAAAGGAAGTTTTTAGTTCGCGTTTTCAGAATCCGGACAGGTTTGCGAGGTTTTAATTTTGCGATTTCAGATTGCGCTACTGTGGCATTCATGCTAAACCTTCCATGGATCTCCTTTTCGCGCTGTCTAAATTTCGCCATTTCCACGCGGTCGCGAATATCGCAGAAATTAAGACCATCGCAATAATTTTATGGTTAACATAACAGATATGTACATGTATATAGAAGCATGGCAAGCGCAAGTTGAGCGATGTATACCCCTATGCCAAAGCAAGTGCATGCCATGCTTCGACTACATGATTATACGTGGAACAAAATATCATGTTGCGATACGAGTCCCACATGTTTTCCACTACCTAATCCAGCCACCGACAAGCATGTGAGTGTCAAAAAAGCAATGCACTTGGCAGTACATTGGCAGTACATTGGCAGTACATTGGCAGTACATTGGCAGTACATTGGCAGTACATTGGCAGTACATTGGCAGTACATTGGCAATACATTGGCAGTACATTGGCAGTACATTGGCAGTACATTGGCAGTACATTGGCAGTACATTGGCAGTACATTGGCAGTACATTGGCAGTACACTGGCAGTACATTGGCAGTACACTGGCAGTACATTGGCAGTACACTGGCAGTACATTGGCAGTACACTGGCAGTACATTGGCAGTACATTGGCAGTACATTGGCAGTACATTGGCAGTACATTGGCAGTACATTGGCAGTACATTGGCAGTACATTGGCAGTACACTGGCAGTACATTGGCAGTACATTGGCAGTACACTGGCAGTACACTGGCAGTACATTGGCAGTACATTGGCAGTACATTGGCAGTACATTGGCAGTACACTGGCAGTACATTGGCAGTACACTGGCAGTACATTGGCAGTACATTGGCAGTACATTGGCAGTACATTGGCAGTACATTGGCAGTACATTGGCAGTACACTGGCAGTACATTGGCAGTACACTGGCAGTACATT